TATTTAACTAAGTAAAAAACTTTGCAATATATATATATATATATATATCAAGAAATTATTTAAAAAACTTATTTTCAATATATATTCTTCAGGTATACAATGTATGTTATGTATTTTGTGTTGAAGAGTTTATTAAACTAAATCTACATTCAGACGGAAACTTGTTACATTATATCACATCAAGGTCATGGAAAGGAATTCCATTATGTTATGTCAAGTGTTCAGTTACCAATCAAGTATCAACATTTTTATAATCATTTTCCCTAAGATTGTATAAAATGGGATGTTTTTCTAATTCAATATCTAGATTTTTTTTAACATGCTTTTTGCCATTTTTTCCCTCCTGTCATTCCTGTGCAGACATAAAGTGATAAGATAGTTTTGATTGGCTGAACATTAGATTCTTTCATCATATCAACTTGAGTTTGATTCCAATGTAATAACATGGTTGTCCCTGAAATGGTTTCCTGGCAAATGCTATGTTACAAACTTGCATTATGTTTCATCTGGCTAGTCAAAAAAGGCATTTTTTATTATTCCTTAAATTACAGTTTTTTTTATTGGCCAGACACAGCATTACATAACATAAGAAGAGCCTGTCTCAATGTAGCTATATTCCATAGAATTGATTCGGAGAACTTTTTGTAAACAGTTTGATGATGAATGTGATAGTGGTGGAGAGGCCAATTCTCAACTATGAAGTAAATCCGCAGATGGTCTGTTGTGAAGAACCATTCATGTGCGAGTGATTTAGTGGCATGCTTATGGGTTAGTGTAGAATATATAAATCGCACACATTTCAAAACAGTGAGAGCACCACAAAATATTGCACAAGTAAAAGCAGCTTTGGTGTGGAGCCCGCATTGCTCAGCTTGATGGCATTGACAAATTGCAACAGTGTATTTCAATAGAAGGTGGGTATTTGAGTAACATAATTTTCAAAATGTAATCCATTACTTATGTTTCCAAATGTCCGAAGAAACTTGGACACAGTTATTCAAATAAATATATAACCAAATAGTTTACTTGTTATTTTAATGTAAAATAGGTATAAAAATGGCACACTGTGTGTACATATATCTCTGAAGAATATATATTGACAAATATAAATATATACTTGTTTACCTCTTAGTGCTCTCTGAGTGGAAAGAAACTTCATCCCCTTCAAAAAAAAAACAATATATATATAACTTTATAAAGCCATTCAATCCTATTTTTATTAATTAAAGTAAAATGTTTTACATTGTACAATATCAAATATTTTACTATGTGCTATAAAGTGTAATCAAAACCATAAATAAAGTTAACTAAATAATTTTATCCAAATTAATTCAGTCTTAAAGGAATCAAAAAGTTACTGTTTAAGACATGTCAAAAGAAATTCTACACAATGATTATAAGCAATAATTAAAAACATGCAACTTTCAAGTGTTTAATTCCAAATAAAATTAGAAACAGAAAGTTATTATATAGAGTAGATAGAGATGTGAATTAGATGAAGCAAAACAGTGAAAACATCAAAGATGGAAAAGTGACACAATATTTGGAAAGTGAATAACTCAAAATTTACTCATAAGCACATGTCTAAGTTATACTATCCTAAGCATTCTTAAATTTCTTTTTTTAAAATTTCTAATAACAAATTGACTATTATTATAATTTTATCATTAAATTTCTAACAAATGTGTGTATTTAATATATTTTATCTTAAAAATGAAAAATAAAATGTTGCAAAGTTGGAAAAAATTAATCAAATATGTAACTAAACAGATATTCATTTTAAAGTAATCTTTTTGATTTAAAAATGTTCACATAGACATGAAAAATATCTAAAATATACAAAATGTATTGTTAAATTAGTTCTATACATTTATTAAAAATTAATATAATAATGATAATAAATTTAACTTTGATTTATTGACAATTGAATATTTTGAATTCAAAGTAAATTTACATAAAAATTAAATTTTTATCTAAATTTCATTTTATTGTGGGGGTGGAGCCTCTAATAAAAAGTCCTCTTTATATGAGAAAATTGTTTTGAACTGTTACTGGTGTGTTGATATGACAGAAAATGAAAACAGTTTTTTGTATATTCATGACATTTTAAAAATGTAAATTTAGATATTTTATTTAGTTTATCTTTAAGAATAAGTATTATTTAATAAGTTTTATATATAACAAGATATAGTATATTTAGCAATATTTAATAAGGATTTTAAACAAATAACAACATATTTAGTCAAAATAATCCATAATCTATATGGATTAAAGAAACATTTAATAAGGGATAAAATATCTGATGAACCACATCTAACTTTCACTATACATTCCCTGCTTTTTTAATTCAGTTCACTATAATTTTTAATTAATTCTTTGCTGATGATAAAAACAGATAAATAATAGTCATTTTATGAAATAAAATAAAAATATTAAAATGGCGATTTTATTTCCAGACTTATTACACCAAGGACAATATTAAAATATTTTCTTTTGTGTAATAAATCTGGAAATAACATCACCATTGAATTAAGTGTAGTGAATTAATACATAAAAATATTAGTTATCTGTATTTTTATTAATATTAAAGAACTGTTCTCTAAAATAAACAAGCAATTATTATTGATATATCATATGCTTTATCAAATAAAGCTGCAATTTTTAATATCATATGTTTAAATCATATTTTTAATCTAAAATATATGCTATCCATCTCAAATTACTAGTAGTGTCTTGCCCCTGAACATCAATATTTTTTGTTAGCAATGATGTTGTGCCAGTCATCTATTAACTGCTTTCAAGGGAAAAGTTTTGAATCGAAATAATGTGACTTACAGTATGCATTGGAAGTTCATATATAGTTAATTGGAGCCTCCAACCCCTAAAATTTCCATATCTAATCTTGTCTTTTAGCTATCTAACTCCATTCTTGAGATTAGGGAAATACAGATAGTTGGACAACTGTGGAAATTTATGTCTACAATTTTTTAAAATTGCAGTCTAACAAGTATCATGCTTTTATAAAGCACCATAATTTTTTATTTTAGAGTTATATTATTTTATAATAATATATTATAGTTTTATATTTTAAATTCATGGTAATATCAAATTGGTAGGATAATTCTAGATATAAACTCCAATTTGAAAAAGTATGATTGTTCTAAGAGATTTAGTTTTTAAAATATTTATTAGATATTTGTTATATGAAATATCATATCAGATATTCTGCCATTTTAAAGTATTAAATATTAAAAACAAACAGAATAATTAATTACAATAATTTTTTTTTGTATGGGATCATTTTAAAAATTCAAAGACTAATTTTTTGAGACTATATGGTGTCAAATTTGATGATCATTTAATTCAGGCTATAAAGTCATCACTTAAAAATTTTATAAATTTATATCTTAGTTTAGAATTAGATTAGAAATAGTTCTGATTATTTTCAAAGAATTGAAAATTAATATTTTAACCCCTAAAAAACATATTATATTTCATATTGATATTTATTGAATATATTTTATGTCAAACATTATTTCATTTTTAAAGAAATAATAAATTGAAACAGTTTATTCAATGCAAAAACTGCATATGGTCGAAACTTATATCAGCTTTTGCAATATGAATTGTTATTAAATACAATAGTATTGATTTTATATCATCATTTGTCATACTATTCATTTAATGACTTAATATAAAATATTATTAGAAAATAGTTTTAAAATAAGTTTCATTATCATGAAAACAAAAAGGTAACCATGGAAATCTTTAAAAAATTTATTATTTATTTTATTATATGAAAATTGGCTTATTTTAATTCTAAATGACAAAATGAATAAAACTTAAATGTTTGTAAAATAATAAATTTTCTGCTTGTCAGCTATGACTTTTTTTTTTTTTTTTAAATAGCGAAATAATATGTTTTTCAGCAATTTTTTTTGTTGTTTATCTTTCTCTTCAGATTTTATTATCATTAGTATATAAAAATTTATATTTAGAAAACTGATAGGTGATTTTTTTTCTTTCTCATTTTTTAACTTTATATTCAAAAAATATTAAAGCGCAATCTTATAACTTTACAATATTCAATGAATATAATTGTTCTAAATATTTCATTTTTTTTCTAATTAATGAATGGGAGTTTTCATTTTCTTTATATAATTTTTCTGATATAAATTAGTGCTTGACATTGATAGTTAGTAAGAAATTGTAAAATAAAATAAAATATATATCTTGAAAACTAATTTTATTAAATTTTAAAACTCTGAATTTGATTATTTTATTTTAAAAAAAAAATTATTAAAAGAATTAGTCCAATATTATTAAAATATTTTATTTTCGTTAATAGAAAATTTTAAAATTATTATTTAATTTATAATTGTCTGTTGTAAAGTAAGTACTGTAAAATCATGTGTTTAAATTAAACACGCGTAATTGTATAACAAGAAGGGCAAAGAACAAAAGTTTATTTGAGAACAATATTTTAAAGTTCACAGTCCCAAATAATGATTTCAGATTACTCAGACAATAGAATAAAAAAATCAATATTCCTTCCAGCTGTACGAATATTTCATTTAATCTTGTTAATTCTATATGACATATTCAATATTAAGCAGCTTTTATTATTAAAATAATTAATTTATTATAAATAAATCTATTAATTACATTATATTTTCTCTTGTTTTTCAGATCAATTTGGCTCACTGCGCCACGTATTTAGCCAAAGCACCCAAATCTCGTCATTCCTACGAAGCTTACGAAAGAGCGGCAGAACATGTTAGAAATCAAAAAGGAACCCATCCCGCCGTTCCGCTCCATTTATGCAACGCTCCAACTAAGCTCATGAAAGAAATGGGCTGCAGTAAAGGATATAAAATGTATAACGCCGACTCTAGAAGTTATTTACCGGAGAGCCTTCGTCATTTAAAGTTCTTCTACGAAAGTATTTAATGGGCCTTTCGTTTATACATGTACTGTACACACGTTTTAATGTAAATAAAATTATTGCTGAGATTTTCACGTGGTCGACCTGTGTTTGTAGGATTAGTTAATGTTACAAGAACTTTGTCCTATAGGGGGAGCATTTGTCGTTTTAGATACCAGTTCATTTTATTTCAGCTTATGAGAGCGATCTGTTCAAAGTCATCCCTTTCTCGTCCTTAGTTTTCGTGGCGTGCATTTAGTAAGTATAATTTTTTATTATACAAATTAAGAAATATACGCTGTAATTGTCTTAAATTTTCTTTTGTTGTATTTGTATTTCGCATTGAATATACAATTATTATTATTATTTGTACGGATTTAAAGTAATTTAAAACTTTTTGCTGATTGTTGCATATTTCAATTGTTATGTTTAACTGTACCGAAATCACTCGTCGTTTTTACGACAAGTCGATTTATGCCGGTTGACGTTGTTGAACTTATCTGACTCCGGGGCATATCTTTTAACTTCGATACGATTGCAGGTGAGTTGGCAGGTTGCCAACACACGTGGCAGATCTGACTGCAATGATGATATTCCCCATTCCTCCCTCTCGTAGTCCTTCTGGCCTCGTCTCTCTTCATCCGTCGTGACGACGACCTTGAAACTCTAAATTTAGACCCTTTCATTTATCTAAATAATAATCTTAAGACCTAATATCGTATAATCTACATTATTTGACACGAGTTTTGCGAGAATTAGTAAAAATTATATATATTTTTAATTTTAAACAATAGTTCATTTGTAGCATCTTATCTCTTCGGAAATGATATTTACTTACATTTCTCTGCCCTTTTATGATTATTTAATGTTTGTGGAATTTTTTTTTATCGGGAGAAAAACAAGTTTTCTGTCGAAAACAATATTTTGTTTATATTTCTTTATAAATAGAACTTTTTTTTATCGATATTTTTGTTTTTGAAATCTGAAAAAGAATTTTTAAAATAAGTTTTAAGGTTTTAAATGAAAGATTTTAAACATCTTTGTATAGAATTTCATGTTTTGATTTATAAAAAATGCGGAATTAAAATTGATATTTTAATCATGTGATAATTTTCATTAGATTTTTTTAAGGCTAGACATTGGGGCGACTTGCTGTAAATAATATGGTGAAAATAAGTGAAGAAGTCCTAAGGTCAACTTGCCAATATGAGTTTATTTTAAAAACACTTTAGTATAATTTAAATTCTGAAAGTTAACTTAATTCTAGATTTTAATAGTTTCCTTTTTAGTTTTGCAAATTCAAATTACATCAGATTCTATAGGTCAGCACATTGGAAACCATCGTCTTAAAGTAAATGGTAAATAAAATAGCGAATTAAATTACTGAATGATGATTGTTTAAGTCTACAAACTTGGAAAAGATCGATCACTGGTGAAAGTAACTAGAAAAATTGCTAACTTTTTTTTACTTTTAATTCACTGATTTTTATCAATACTTCATTTATTTCCTTATAACATCTGGCAAACAGTTATCAAAATACAGTACTTTATATTTGCTCTAATAAATAATTTTTTCTATAAATTTTGTGTAAGAGAATTAAAAAAATATATAAGGAATTAATATTTATTTTATTAATAAATTTATACTTTTAATATCATATTTCATTCAATTGTTAATTTCATTATTTATTATTATTATTTTGTAATTTAGATTCGTTGACCGATTGAAACGGCAGATAAAAATTGTGGAATAGTTTTTATGTTACTAATATCAAATAGTTGATGATAAATTATTTTTATCTAATGAGTAAATATATTTTTTTAAATATTACAAATAATATAATATTTTTAAAATATATAAAGGAATTAAATATTTACGTAAAATGATTTTTTAAAAACAATAAAACTGTGTATTCGATACGTTTGATGATTCAGTTCGAATGCATCATGACAGCGATGCCTTAAGTTAAGCAGCAAATTTAGTATAATGCTATGTACTTTTACCCTGCGAAATGAACTATTAGACTGGAAGAGCATTAAATTTCACTTTAAGAAACAATACTTTAAACGTTTGACCTGAGTTTTCTTGAATAAAATCGGCACCGATTTACTTGTGCCGATTTCGAAATCAATATCAGATGAGTTGGATTCTGTTGTTTTTATTTTGTGTATAAATTTAAATCGTTTTTAACGAATTTACACAAAAATCAAATGAGTTTAGATTCTTCAAAAACATATAAAGTAGTAATTTTAAAAAGATTAATTGTAGACCTGAACTTAAATTTCAAATTGATGGCACAAGTCGGACATTTTCATACGCTTCCATTCGTACGAAATCCAATTAAATGTGTGACACACAAGAAAAATGCTTTCAGTCAAAAAGAACTATGATTTATACAAAAGTATTGCTATAATACTCATTTTAATTTTCTCACATCGGAGTTTTTTGTAAGAACAAAATTAGCTGATAGAAAGAATGGAAAAGCTATTTCCACTTGAAATCCATCTGTTTCCTGCGTGCTTGTAATAGTATCTGTTTTTCTCACGGTTGAATAAAAATAAAATTTAGATCCTAATCAATTAGTTTATAACAGAATTTTTAATACGGCACATTAGAAACTGTTAATATCAGAAATAATTGATTTTTCGAACATCCAAAGGAATAAAATTAGATTAATATACACTTAATGCTTTCAATGAAGTTGTATAAATAATCGAATATTTATTAGAATTCAATAAAAAAAAAAACTTGGTAAAATAATCTTATTTTTAATACTTCTAAATATACTACCTAAAAATATTCTGTGCGAGATAGCAACAAATTGTGTAATGAAATTATCTAGAAGTGCCAGTACGTGACCAAATATTAATGTGTTGTATAATTTTAACATCTTGGAATAGCGTCAACTCCATAGTAGAAAATGGTATTAAAAAATAGACTGATCTACAACAGGATGCGCCAGAAAAACTTGAAGGTTTTTAAAATTAGTTCTCAAGTCACCCTCTAGATATCGTTGTAATACTGATCACCGTTACTTTCAGCGTACTTTGGAATTCAAGTGATGGAGTATTAACTATGAGACATTGAATTTCGGTAGTAAAGACGTTTATAAAGACAGTCTATCATAGCTACAAAACGAAGTTTCTGATTTCAGTTTGGTGATATGCCTTTAGTCGCAATATTCTGTTACTTTGCATGTCAAAGAAGTGTAAAAGATAGTAAATCTTCAGAACATCCGCATTCTCTACGCACACCAGACAATATTAATTGTGTAAAATACGTCATCTTGTGTAGTTTGCATAAGTGAAATGGAAGACAACCAACCACACTTGATATTGAGAATAGTAACGTTCTCAGAATCTTACACGAAGATCTTCATTACAAAGATTCAATTCAAGGATATGAACAGGACACGAACAACTAACTTTAGGTTTGATAACGATTTTTTGAAGTTATCAAGAGTTGATGAAACATTGTGAGCAGGTTACTGATGTCAAATAAAGGCGTGAAGGCAGGCTGAGGCATTAAAGGTGTTAGTTTGCTTCTGGAGGACCAAGATTGGATCCGGGTACAGAATTCCAGAAATTTCTCGGGGACGGTATCCTGGATGATGATCACATTTTATACCTTAAAAAGTTTGGCACTATTTTCAATATGTTTGCTCAAGTAGCCAAAATACATGGGCAAAATCTTTCAGGCAGGAATCTTCACTGTATCACAAGCACTTGAATGGGCCATGCTAATTGTAACAATCAAAGAATTCAATTATATACGGATAGTACCTCCATACTCCAATATGTATAGGTAAAGAAAGGTAAATAAAAATGTCTTTAACCTTTAATGAATAAAGAATTTTATTCAACGGGCGTAACAATTATTCGATTTTTCTGGAGATCACACTGGAATATCTATAATAATGATGGAGCTGACAGCTTGCAAAACAGAACAGCTACAGAATCACTTCCTATAACTTATGCATTATTACCGAGGTTATATATTATTAATTAAAAAAATATATATATATGAGATGAGATGAGAATGTTTGTTTGTTCTCTATGAACTCTTAGGCCATTTGACCAATTGCTACGAAATTCTGTAGTTATGTTTTATGTAACTCTAACTTAGATAATGTCGAGCATCACATTCAAAAATATCTATTGGATATCTAAATCAATCAATCCTGTCTACATTCGTTTTGCTGCTTTATACGTAGCGCCATCTATCGAAAAAAAATTTAACAAAATAATAAATTGAATATAATTCTTATGAAAAAGGATATAATTTTAAAAAAATATATATATATTATATTCACTTAATTACTGCAAAAATGATATAGCGCGAAATAGACGCGCTATATAATTACTGCGACAGGTAGCATATAGCACTTACTTGCATGCAATGGAAAGCGTTGTTACCCTGTGAAAAATCTATAAGTATTTAATTTTCCACATCTAACGACTCGGATTTTTTCATTTCTTAACGGTACTTTCTTAATTCTAATAAGCGTCCTCCAGTAGCTAAGTGCATAAAACTACCGTGCTTTGGTAGTTTATCGTGGGTTCGGGCATGGCCAACGTGCTGGCCACGTGGAGTTTTCCGGGTTCTCTTCATCTAAATAGGGTTCAGCTTCCCATAAAAGTTTTTCTGGGATGCATTCCCTGGCAGATCGCGTTGCAGTAACCAAATAAACCAAACTAATTCTAACAAGCGATTATTTATTGTGACATCGTAACTTTTCGTCACAATGTTCTCAATTTTTTAGTAGTGGTTTTGCCCCTGTACATACTTTCTCTGTTAGATCACCGGCACGACTCTATTGCTCTCTAACTTTGTTCAGGAGAAAATTTTGAATCCAAGTAACGTGACATTCATTCCAAACCTGAAGTTCCTATATAGTTAATATGGGCCTCCTCCCCCTAAACTTTCTACATCTGGTGTCGTTTTTGATGTATCTAACTCCATTCTCGAGATTGATGAAGGACAGACGGACAATAGTCGAAATTTATAGATCTACAATCTATTTTTCAAATTGTAGTCCAATAATTTTTCTATAAACGCGATATTTCGAGAACATACTTCCCACATAATTTATACAATCTGTTGCAAAAGTATAAACACTTTATTATAACATAAAATACTTAATTAATACCCAGCTAGATGCTTCTTAGCCTACGCAAAAACACCTTATCTCACTGAGAATTATTTATTAATCGTAACGAACGTTTTCAACCTGTTCTACAGGCCATCTTCAGGTATC